TAGGGATTTAGGGATTTGGGGATTTGGGGATTAGGGTTTGGGGTTTAGGGTTTAGGGCCACTTTTGAGGGTATGGTACAAGATTCTGATAAGAAGGAGCTGTAAGAAATGCTGCCGCCAGTTCTTCGGTTTTGAGTTTAAGTTTAGGGTTTAGGCTGTTTAGGTGATTTGGCGGTTGAAACTTCCCGAAAGCCTGCAGCCCTCTTCTTCCATTCTGGAGCATTGGGATAGAGTGGTTGGAGCGTCTTCGGGCTCGGGTTGAGAAGCTTGGGGTCTGTGGGGTTTTGCGGTTTTATGGCTCTTAAACCCTAAACCCCAAACGTTTGGGTGTTGACGGTCCTTCAACCTTAAACCCTAGCCCTAGACCCTAAACCCCAAACTTAAGGGCTTTCACCGTTTTTGGAAGGGGAGGGGTGGATCGGGGGGTTGGAGAATTTCGGGTCGTGCTTCCGCGCGGCTCAGTGGCTGAGGCGAAGGCTTCGAGGGGGGTGTTTATGATATAAAATAAACCCCCTAAACCCTAAACCCTAAACCAGGTAGTTCTCTAAATTAGGGTCCCTTTTTGGGTCCCCCAAACTAGTACGGCACCTGAAAAAGGACCGCAAAAGGGATCCCTAGTTTAGAGAACTACCCATATGGGGGGTTTAGGGTTTAGGGTTTAGGGTTGAGGAGGGGGTCTTCGTAGTTGGACTAGGGCTCCTTTCAAGCGTTCGGCTCTGTGAGGGTTAGGGGATACGGTCGACTTTGTTTAGGGGCCTTCATGACTTGGAATAAAGCGTTTGGGGGGGTAGATATCTAAACCCTAAACCCTGAACCCTAACCTGTAGTATGAGCATACTATAAGCATAATGAACTCGAAGAAATAATTTTGGTAACTGCTCAGGCTTCCATATTATACAGTCATGAAAGAGCTTTACAGGAATTGGCTTAGGGTTCAGGGTTTAGGATTTGGGGGCAGATTTCGCTCTAAACTCGACAACCTGAACCCCAAGCCTAAACCCTGGGGGACGATTTGGATAGCTGATGCGGACGATGCGATGTGACGCATGACAGAGGCGGACCGTGGGGATTGGAGCTTGTTGTTGTCCTTTTATGAAGGTTCAACAGGGTTGGTAAGTATTTATGAGGGTTTGGAAGAGATTTGATTGTAATGTATGGGCCTTAATAAGTTGAATAGGGTTTGGGGGGTATATTATACTATTATATA